GGGTGGGGTGGGGGGAGGGGGTCCCTCGGGGAGAGTGGGCTGCGGCCGGGCGGCCGACCCCGCCGTGTGGGAATCGGGAGGGGGTGCCCTTGAGCGCGGGTGGGCGCTCTGATGAGGGCCCTGAGGCAGGGGGCAGACTGCGAGCCCGAGGAAGTTTTGTATTTCGCAGGAGCATCTTTATCGGGGGAAGAGTGTGAGGCAGGAGACGGACAGCAGGTGGTAAAATAGAGAAACGCCCTGGTGATAACTAGCCTTGCGATCTCAGGGCGGTTTTCAGGCAGAAGGTTCTTACAGCGCAGCCCGCAGGGGCGGGGGGGGGGGGCCCTGCGCTGAGCTACAGGCTCTGATTTGGGGGGAGGGAGCGAGGCCTCCGGAGAGGAGGGTGCGCTTTAATGAGGTGCAAGGCTCAGCCTGTACTGGAACTGAGCATGTGCAAAGTGCAAAGTACCCATCGAGTGTGTCATGTGAATTAACTCCTTAAACTTTTTTCTTAATATATATATTTTATTGATTTTTTTACAGAGAGGAAAGGAGAGGGATAGAGAGCTAGAAACATTGATCAGCTGCCTCCTGCACACCCCCTACTGGGGATGTGCCTGGCAACCAAGGTACATGCCCCTGACCAGAATCGAACCTGGGACCTTTCAGTCCGCAGACCGACGCTCTATCCACTGAGCCAAACCGGTTAGGACCCCCTCCATTTTATTAAGGTATTATTATATGTGTACATATCTCACCATTGCCCAACCCCTCCTCCCCACTCCCATGTGCCCTCCTTAAACTTTCTAACAGCTCTATTGTGGTTGAGGCTGTGGCCTCGGGTTGCTAGGGTTGGAATCCGGGCCTTGCCACTGGCCCTGCCCTGGAACCATAGGGTGGTGTGGGGGAGTGATTTCACCCTTGTGCCCCAGCTCCATCATGGGTGGGACGACCTCTTCTCTGACGGTTCCCAGCCTCGCGCAGGGTTTGGGCTTCAGGTAGTCTCCATGGTGATATGTCCAGGCTGGCTGTCCATGGTGAAAGCCAGAGATCCAATGGCCGACCCTTTTCTACTTGCAAGTGCAAAGGACAAGCAGACCTGAAAAAGTTGTCCCAAACCAAACTCATGGTGTTTTTTTGTTTTTGTTTTTTTCCCCCCCTTCAACCTCCAAACCCAGTTTATGGCATTTCCATTTTCCCAGGAACTCGGGACAAAACCTGGGAATTTCCCATCACTCCTCCTTTTTCTCAAAGTGCCCACCTATGCTCTGTCAGTCAGCAGATCTCATCTGCTCTGCGTTCAAAACACACCCAGAACCCAGCTACGTCTCACCACCTCCCTTGCTACCGCTCTGGCCTAAGCCCTCACCTGTTCCTACTTGGTCTGATGCAGTGAACTCACGGGGTCCCTGCCTCTGCCTTTGAGCCCCCGTTCAGGGGGGTCTGGGTAAAACCAGCCGGTTCAGGTCAGGTTGCTCCCCTGTTCAGATCCTCCCCAGTCTCCGCCTCTGGAAGGAATCCTTGTCAAGCCCACAAGGCCCCACCGGGTCCAGCTCCCCTCCTCCCTGCCCTCAGCTCCTCCCACTCCCTCTTGCTCACCCCGTCTCAGCCGCCCTCGCCTCCTCATGGTCCCTCAAACATGGCAACTACCGTTCCACCTGGAAAATGTGCTTGCGGTCCCCTCTGGGTCGTGTTCTCCCCAGATGTCCAGCTAGCTGGCTTCTCCCTCACCTTCAGGTCTCTTTTTTTTCTTACTTTTTTTTTTTTTTTTCAAAAAGGGAGCACATAATCTTTTATTTTTTTGATTTTCAGAGATAAAAGGAGAGAGAGAGCTAGAAATGTCAACGAGAGAGAAACATCGACCAGCTGCCTCTTGCACACCCCCTTCTGGGGATGTGCCTGCAACTAATGTACATGCCCTTGACTGGAATCGAACCCAGGACCTTTCAGTCCGCAGACCGATGCTCTACCACTGAGCCAAACTGGTTTCAGCTTCAGGTCTCTTTTCAAATGTCACCGGACCCTTGCAGACCAGCCAGGCTAAAACCATTTCTGTCACTCCCTGGCCCTTCACCACTTGGTTTGAGTTTCTTTATAACATCACCACCTGACATGTTTTTTTTTTTTTTTTTTTAATATATATATCCACTGGAATTCTTTTATTTTTCATTTTTTTAGTTACCGTACTTATTGATTCCCTTTTAAAAATTGAATTTATCGAGAGTATAAAAATCCACTGATTTCTGGATATTTATTTTGTATCCTGCTACCTGTTGGATTCATTTATCAGTTCTGTAGTGTTCTGGTGGAATCTGTGGGGTTCTCTTATACTGTATCACGTCATCTGCAAATAATGACAGTTTTGCTTCTTCCTTTCCAATTTGGATGCCTTTTATTTCTTCTTCTTGTCTGACTGCTGTGCGCGGGCCAGAGTGTGGCTCTGGGGTGTCCACGCCGAGCACAGCATTCAAGTGTTGACCTTGAGGGTTGGCAAGAGTGAACCCTTGAAGGCTTGGCTGGGATGCGGGGTCTAGAAGCTGAGGAGGGGAAGAGGAGCTGGGAGAGATTGGGACTGGAACAGAGCCAGCCACCGGGACGGGCCGCTGGCCACAGCGCGGATGGAGGATGCAGGGAGAAGCACAGGGTCAGCGTGGGGGCTAGCGGAAAGGAGATGGGAGGGAGGGGCTCTGGGCTCAGGAATCCCAGAATGGGGTGGGGTGTGTTCAGGGGTCAGGGAAGGGGTGCCTAGGAGGGAGCGGGGACAGGTCCAGCACTGCACAACACCCACTTTGGGGTCCAGAGGATGAGTGACACATTGAAATGGGTGGCTGTGGGGACCTCTGAACTGGCCAGAGGGTGAAGCACAATTGCAGGAGTGAATTTTCCGGGGAAAGAGGCCCCCAGGTTTCAGGAGCCCCTCCAAGACCAGAGACCCCTCTGCCGGCAAAGCCAAGAGCTTGTTGGGTCTAGGGACAGGTGCCTGGCAGGACGTGTGCGGCTGAGACAGTTGTCACTGGGCCTTTGAGAAAGGGGATCATCTGTAGATAGAGCCTGGGAGCAGTGTTCTGGGCGCCCCTGAAATTAATTGCAAAAGTCATGGGCCTGTTCATTTATCTGGGTGTTCAGAGACCTCCTTAGATTCCAGGACCGTGAAAATTTAAAAATCACTGACCTAGAGTTTCAGGCTCACTCTTCCTCCCTCACAAATGACGTCTCTGATATCAGACTTTAGGAGGGGTCTGCTGGGGAGAGTGAGAGAGTAAAGGAGGTGATGGGGAGAGATCAGACGTGGGGGGTCTGCTGAGTGGGGTGAGCACAGCCCTGGGTGCTCTGTCTTTGGCGCAGCTTTGGGACTCTGGACAGGGCCCTCATTCTCGCGGAGCCTCAGTTTCCCTATCTGTGCCCCGGGGAGGGAATGCACTTACCTTGTCTCTATAGGCCCTTTCAAGCTCAAACAACAAAGCAATGAGGACGGTGATGACGATGCCAGTTTGTATTGAGTGTTTGCTGTGTGCCAGGCGTGGCTCAGTCTCTCCAAGGATTTTAACGTGATTCATTCATTTCAGCCTTCACCCGTCTGGGCACTGTTATCCCCCTAGTTGTCCTCATGACTGGCTTCTGGCGCGTTCACCCCTGCTCTCCTCACTTACCCCCTCCCTCCTTCAGGTTGCCCTTCTCGTTGTTCTTAGAACAAACAAGGAACTACTCACCTTGGGCCTCTACTTGGCTGTTTCCTGGCCTGGACACTCTTCCCCAGGCATTCACCTGACTCCTCCCTCTCTCCAGGCCCTGCTCAGAGGGCCTTCCCTGGCCGCCTTAGCAAAAAGAGCAACCCCAGCCGAAACCGGTGTGGCTCAGTGGATAGAGTGTCGGCCTGCGGACTGAAAGGTCCCAGGTTCGATTCTGGTCAAGGGCATGTACCTTGGTTGTGGGCACATCCCCAGTAGAGGGCGTGCAGGAGGCAGCTGATTGATGATTCTCTCATTGATGTTTCTAACTCTCTCTCCCTCTTCCTCTCTGTAAAAAATCAATAAAATATATTAAAAAAAAAAAAAAAAAAAAGAGCAACCCCATCCCCAGCATTCCCTTTCCTCACTACCTGACCTTTCTTACCTCTGACTGTTGCCAGCCTCCTGACAGGAGGGCCATAATCTGATGCCTAGATCCCCAGCACCCAGGGTGGCGCCTGCTTTAAGGATAAGGAATCTGGCTGCAGGGGAGGCTGAGTAACTTGCTCATGTCCCCGCATGTGGCTTAGCCTGGATGTGAATCCGGGAGTGGGGCTGCCATTGTGAGCCAGCCCCCAGGACCCAGGCTGGGCGGAGGCTGGCTCTCTCTTCCAGCACTGCATGGAGCCAACCATAAGTAGTAGCTCTTCGGCTTAGAGAAGGTGCTTATGCTCACAACAGACGGATTCATTAAATCAAGTTTTAATTCAGTGTGAACGACTTAGCGTGTCACTGATAATATACAGCGCTGGCTGTTCTCTCCCCGGGACCTCTCTCTCCGGGGAGTCACGTGGCCCTCCCTACCCTCTGCGCAACTGTCAGCTGCTCACGGGGGCCTGCCCTCACCCCTGTTTGAAATCTCTGTCCCCTTCCCCCCCCAACTCAGTACTCTCCACTCTCCGTCCCCTTCCCAGCTGGATTTTTCTCTGCAAATGTTTGCTGAATGAATGAGTGAATGATGAAAAATATAAAATGAGCATCAGGATTAATAAATAATCTAGTATTAATCATGGTATATTCTATCAGCCAGCATGTTTTGGGCATAGTAATGTGCAGGGCACAGATTAAGTGCTTTTATGTGTATTGTTCAATTTAATCCTCACGTCAACTCTAGGAGGTTGGTGCCGTTTTATACCCATTTTCCAGATGAAATGGAGGCAACGTCTCCTTCCTAAGGTGCCACAGCTGGTAAATGGTAGAAACAGGAAATGAACGCTGGCCTTCCAGCCCCTGAGCCTGGGCTCTCAGCCCCTCTGGGTCTCTGTCTCATTCCCTTCTCCAGTGACCCTGACCATGGACCAGCCGGCCGGCCTGCAGGTGGACTATGTGTTCCGGGGTGTGGAGCATGCCGTGCGCGTGGCGGTGTCGGGGCAGGTGCTGGAGCTGGAGGTGGAGGACCGGATGACGGCTGACCAGTGGCGGGGCGAGTTCGATGCCAGCTGTGAGTGTGCCTGCCTGGGTGGGCTCTCCTGTTCTTCCCGGGATCAGCTTCTAGACCCAGTGTTTCCCAAAGTGCGGTCCGCGAACCCCCAGGGGTACAGGAAGAGTTTGGTGGGGGTACGCGTTGCACCGGAGTTCGGTGGGGATATGCACTGCACCGGGCTTAGCTGCGCCTAATTCTACATTCTCATGAGGACGAGGGGTCCTCAGCGTTACAGAAATTATAGAAGGTGTACACATATGTCAGAAGTTTGGGAAACACTGTCCTAGAAGATGAGGCCAGCTGGGGTCCTGCCCCTTGGACCTGACCAGAAGCTCTAAGGTGGGGAGGGGAGCAGGGCTCATCCCTCAGGCCGGAGGCCCCGGAGTCCGGGAACGTCAGAAAGCTTGGAGGCATTGCCCTGGGATGGGGCAGTGCCAGGCTCAGGAAGGACTTTTCTCCCACCCAGTCATCGAAGATTTGACTCACAAGACAGGGAACTTCAAACAGTTCAGCATCTTCTGTAACATGCTGGAGTCGGCCCTTACCCAGGTAGGGACCAAGCGGGGGCTGGGGAGGTCTCCGTCCCCTGGATTCCTGGGGGCAGAAGCCCGTGGGATGTATGCAAGACCTTCCCTCTCCTCTTTCATCGAAGGGGCAGGGCTGTGGCTTTCTCTTCTTCTTCTTTCCCAGATGTAAATGCCTTATTTTGGTTCTAATGAGAATTATCCTCATGTAGAATATTCAGGTCACAGAGAAATGTAAAGAAGAAAGAAAAAATCACTCCTAACGCTCCTGGTAATATTTTGGTGAAGATCTGGTCATTTATTCATTTCTTTCTGTTTTTTTTAATATATATATATATATATATATATATTTTATTGATTTTTCACAGAGAGGAAGGGAGAGAGATAGAGAGCTAGAAACGTCGATGAGAAACATCGACCAGCTGCCTCTTGCACACCCCCTACTGGGGATGTGCCCGCAACCCAGGTACATGCCCTCTACCGGAATCGAACCTGGGACCTTTCAGTCCGCAGACCAACGCTCTACTGCTGAGCCAAACCGGTTTCGGCCATTTATTCATTTCTTTATTTATTTGTGAATCTGTGTGTGTGTGCGCGCGCGCATGCATTTACATATCTATGATTATACAGAGTGGGGAAAAAGTATGTTTACAGTGTGAGTATGCAAAACACAGAATTTATTCTTGTGTTATTATCTCTTAATTCTTGTATTATTTTTCATATGAACAACTGTAAATCTACTTTTGTCCTGTATATAGTAAATACTTTTGCCCTGCATATAGTTAATCCTTGTCCAAGGATATTTTTTCATTGATTTTAGGGAGGGTGGGAGAGAGAGGGCAAGACAGAGAGAAACATCATGTGAGAGAAACACACTGATTGGTTGCCTCCTGCATGAACCCCGAGCAGGGCCCAGGCCAGGGAGGAGCCTGCAATTGAGGTATGAGCCCGTGACCGGAATTGTACCCGGGACTCTGGTCCTCAGGTTGACGCTCTATCCACTGAGCCAGACCGGCTAGGGCTAGTTGACATATTTCCCTAGGAATTCTATAATCTGCTTTTGAAAGATTCAACAATATTTCATAAACATTTAGTTACATTAGTGAATATAGCTAATGTTGGCATGGGGACACAGCAGTGAACAGAGACAAAGTCCCTGTCTCCATGAAGTTGACATTCTAGTGGGAGAGAGACAATTGAAAAATATTTTGTAATGTCAAGTAGTTAAAAGTAGTACTAAGAAAGAAAGCGCTGGTTGAAACTTAGAGCGACAGGGGAATGCTACTTAGGAGTCACTTTAAAACTGCTAACAGGAGGCTGCTGGGGTCTCCTCTGTGCTCAGTCCATGGAGAGAATCTGCCTCACCTGGACATGTGCTCCAAAGGGAGCCCTTTCTTAGTGTTTCAGATAACCGTGCATGTCTTTCTTAGCTGACATTATTAACACTGGATAGGTGGCGCTTTCTTTTATTCTTTTAAATAAATCTTTATTGGTTTGGGTTTTTTTTAAAAATATATTCTATTGGTTTTTCACAGAGAGGAAGAGAGAGCCAGAAACATCGATGAGAGAGAAACATTGACCAGCTGCCTTCTGCACGTCTCCCACGGGTACATGCCCCTGACCGGAACTGAACCCCGGGCCCTTCAGTCCGCAGGCCGGCGCTCCACCCACTGAGCCAAACCGGCCAGGGCAAAAATCTTTATTGTGGAAAGTATCACAGATGCCTCCCCCGCTGTTCCTCTTCTAGCCCGCCCCAAACCTCCCCCCAGGCCTTCACCTCCCCATCGCCTGTGTCCATGGGTTATGCCTATGTGCATACAAGTTCTTTGGTTCATCTCCTCCCACCTTCCCTCCCTCCCTCCCACCAGGTGGTAGTTCCTTTCAGGTTGGTGGCATTGTGGAATCTGAAACCACAGCAATGAACTTTTTATATTCTGTTACACTGAAATCTACTGGTGTATTTTGCCTGGACCTGTTATCCATTTTGTAACTTCACTTACTGGCCATTTGGAAATACCGGTTCCCTGAGTTGGGTAGCTCTTCCAGATGCTGTCCCCTGTCATCCTACAAACCAGGAAGTCCCCTTAGTTGGGACTCCCTGATCTCGCCAGGAAAGCCTTGCAACATCCCGAGGCTGTGCAGTGCACGGCGGCAGATACACGGTTTCCCAAATTCCCATTTTCGCTTTGACATTTGAGGGTTTTTTTTTTTGTTTGTTTTTAAAAATATATTTTATTGATTTTTTTCCAAGAGGAAGGGAGAGAGATAGAGAGCCAGAAACGTCGATGAGAGAGAAACATCGACCAGCTGCCTCTTGCACACCCCCTACCGGGGATGCGCCCGCAACCAATGTACATGCCCTTGACCGGAATCGAACCTGGGACCTTTCAGTCCGCAGACCGACGCTCTACCGCTGAGCCAAACCAGTTTCGGCATGACATTTGAGTTTTACCGTTGGCAGCAAACACCATCAGCTGTTTCTCTGGACGTGACAGCCTCACTCTGTTCATTTTTGAGAAAATGCCTGCCAGACACCCAAGGCTGAATAACCCTGGTTTTGTCTGTCAGTGGTTCTTCTGAGTAAAAATAGCGTTTTGTGAAAAAGTGGCCAACTTAGCTCAAAACTCGATGGCACAGTGCTTCCTGAGCCAGCTGTCGCTGGTGTGCAGCGGGATGCTGCCCGTTTTGTCACAGAGAGGAGTACAAAGCCGTGCACGTCAGGGATGAGATGCAATAAAATTAATACATTTCACAGCGTCATCAAGAATATTCCCAGGTTCCATTTCCTGTGTTTTATCTGTCTCTCTGCTTATTTCGCCTTCCTGGTCCCCCACTGAGATGGCATGGCGTGTAGTGATTGCTAGGACATTTGGTGCCACGGGCTGAATTTCTCTAATGGCCCCAGCGTATTTACCCATCGTTACTTTTGCACCATTAGTGTGACACACAGTGCAAGGGCAAAATGCTCTTAACTTTCTAATGCAAATTGTGTTGACCTCTTGGACTCCCTGGAAGGGTCTCGGGGATCCCCAGGGGTTGGCAGGCACTACTTGGGCAGCCACAGTCCCAAGCTGACCCATGCATGGTTGAGCGTTTAGTTCTTTCTATTATAGTTTCTCCCTCTGACCAGGTCCTAGTGTCAGCACCTTGGACAGGGCCATCTTGCTCATCGGGGCAGCCTAGGAAAGCCCCAATAGCTCCCAGAACAGGTCAGAGCGCAGTCCAGTGAGTGGGTTGGGTGCTCTGGGTATGGCCACGTTGAATCTTTTTAAAAAATATATTCTATTGGTTTTTCACGCAGAGGAAGAGAGAGGGATAGAGAGTTAGAAACATCAATAAGAGAGAAACATCGATCAACTGCCTCTTGCACACCCCCTACCGGGGATGTGCCCAAAACCAAGGTACATGCCCTTGATCAGAATCAAACCCGGGACCTTTCAGTCCGCAGGCCTACGCTCTATCCACTGAGCCAAACCGGTTTCGGCGGCCACATTGAATCTTGTGGTAGCTCCTCCTACCTTCTCTCAACAGAGCAGTGAGTCAGTCACCCTTGACCTGTTGACCTACACAGATCTGGAGTCCCTGCGGAACCGCAAGATGGGGGGCCGCCCAGGTCCCTCGGCCTCCAGGTCGGCCCAGCTCAACTCGAAGCGCTACCTGATTCTCATTTACTCCGTGGAGTTTGACAGGTGGGGCCAAGGACCGGCTTAGGGCCAGGCTGGCTTTAGGGGGCGGGCGGGGGAGGATGTGGTTAGACCTCGGGAACCCGGTACCCAGGGTGGGTGGGGATATTGCTTTGAGCTTGCCTTTGGAATCTTCATTGTTGAGGTTTGTGTCACTTAGTATTATGTTTAGCTACAAGCACAGCGCCTTAAACAAACATTAGTTATCACTTAACAAGATGTCTAGGCAGGTGGTCGAAATCAACAATTTCATTAGAGACTTGAGCTCCTTATGTTTTTTTGTTTGTTTTCTTGTGTCATCCTTAAAGCGTTGGCATTTTTTTTTTTTTTAAATCCTCACCTGAGGATATTTTTTCCATTGACATTTTTAGAGTGAGTGGAAGGGAGGAAGGAGGGGGAGAGAGAGAAACAGTGATGTGAGAGAGCCACATCAATTAGTGGCCTCTGTACTCACCCCAGACCTGGGCTGGGGATGGAACCTGCAATCAAGGAACGCGTCCTTGACCGGGAATCAAACCGAGGGCAGGCTCTCTAACCACTGAACCAAACCGGCCAGGGCAACATGGTGGCATTTTGATTTTGTCTGTATCTCTTCATGAGTCACAAGGGGCTGCTGGGACTTCAGGCATCGCACCCGTATCCAAGCAAGAGGAAGGGGAACAGGGCCATGCTTGCTAAATGCAGCTACTGTCTTATCAGGAAAACAGTGTTTCCAGAAGACTCCCAACAGACTTTCTGTAATATGTGGCCAGAGATGGTCATATGACCTTTCCCGTAGTATTCGGCGCTAAGTGGTCACAGGAAAGGGATGCTGGGAAAATGAGTGGCGATCTGTCTTTAGAGCGGAGGCAGGAAGGGAGAAGGTCGTTGGGAATGGCGGTTGGGTAGCTGGGCACAGCGTCTGGTCCGGTAATGAATAGCTCCTGGATTTTGCCGTGGGAAGTTATCAATCTTTTAAGAGTAGCGCTTGGTGGGCCAGCTGATCCAGGTGCCCTACCTTACTCCAGCCTGGGGGGCCCAGGCGAGGGTCCCAGAGCCTCCCACTATGGAGTCTCAGTTCGGATTGTGCTTGGCTGCAAGTGACATGACCCAGGGGTTCCACAGCTGCTATATAAGAGGGTCTGGTGGGGGAGGGGGCGCTGACTGGTGCACAGGGGGCAGGGAGGGCTGGGAGCCGTGTTTGAACGTAAGCCTCTGGGAAGGTGAAGCTGTTGGAATTGTGTGCTTTTGTACCCCAAGGCTCTCAGGGTCTGGTAGACTCCCTCGGGATTCTGAGATGCCGCGGTTCTAATCCTCAGGATTCACTACCCGCTGCCCCTCCCGTACCAGGGCAAGCCGGACCCCGTGTTCCTTCAGGGCATCATCCGCTCACTGAAGGAGGAGCTGGGCCGCCTTCGAGGGCTGGACGGCCAGGACCCTCGGGACACCCGGGATGCTGAGATCTGGCACCTGCGGGAGCAGTGAGTCTGGGACGGGCGGGCAGCTGGGGCTGTGGGCAGGGACACATCCCATCATGCACTGCGGCACCCTGTGCTCAGCACCGTTGTGAGGAAGGCGGCCCATCATTCACCAGATATTTATTCTGAGCTCCCCTGGCCGCCTTGTGCTGGGTGGTGCTGGGGTCACAGTGGTGACCAGACAACCTTGGCCCTGCCCTCCTGGGACTCCAGGCCCGTGGGGGAGACAGATCTGTGAAGACGCAGCGTGCGCAGGGTGGGGGATCCCAGAAAGGGAACTGACCCGGCCTGGTAAGGGTGGTACTGCAGGCAAAGGGAACAGCCTGTGCAAAGAGGGTGGGAGGAAGTGCGCTGTTCGGTGCCTCTTTAGTGCTGGCCCCCTCCCTGTCCCCTGAGTGACCGCCACAGGCCGGTGGATGTCGATACATGAGCACCGAGTGCGTCGCTGCGGGGGGAGAGGAGTGAGGACTGGAGTCTGCTGTGGAAGGCTGCCGCAGGGACTGAGAGGGTCTTGGACTGGGTCAGCGAAGGCGCTGGGGAAGAGCGTTCTGGGCAGAAGGAACAGCATGTGCAAAGGCCTGTGTTAGGGGGGAATGTGGTGAGAACAGGGGACTGAGAGGGAAGTGAGCAAAGGCTTTGGCCATACTGCGTGCCTGCTGCGTGCTGTGGGCAGAGGGGGAGCCGAACTGGGACAGGGTCTCTCCCTGGAGGAGGCCCCACACATTGCAGGGGGCGGGAGCTAACAGTAGTAATAATAATCCTATATAATTAGATGTGATATGCAAATGGTTGTTACACCATGAAGAGTAACCACCACCTGCATAATGACCCGATGACGGATCAGCAGGAGGGTGGGGCAGCGAGCTGCAGTGGACTGCGGACAGCTACAGGAGGGGGCAGGGCAGCAAGCTCTGAGCGGGGAGGGGAGGAGGGGGACAAGGGGAGCTGCAGGAGGGTGGGGCAGAGGGCGAAGAGCTACTGGAGGGCGCTGCGAGCTGCTGTGCACAGATTCGTGTGCAGGGCTCCTAGTAACAGTAATACCAGCAGCAGATGCTGAGCATTTAGCAGGGTGCTCAGTGCTTTATGCTTCGGGCCTCACAAAGGAGGAGACTGAGGCCCAGAGAGGTTGGAGAGCTTGCCTCAGGTCACGTGATTAATGTGGCCAGGCTGGATCTTGAATCCAGGCCGCCAGCATCACTTTTGTTTTGGTAATCCTCACCTGAGGACATTTTCTTCCCCTGATTTTCAGAGTGAGTGGAAAGGAGGGTGAGAGAAACATTCTTGCGAAAGAGACACATCCATTGGTTGCCTCCCAAACGTGTCCCCACGAACTTGCAACCGAGGTATATGCCCTTGACCGGAACTGAACCCTCCATCCTTCAGTCCATAGGCCTATGGTCTAACCACTGAGCCAAACCGACGAGGGCACCACTGTGCACTCTTGGCAGCTACTAGCCCAGGACGGAGTCCTCAGTGCCCAGGGAGGACCAGCCTCTCCCTCGCGGGTGTGAGAGCTCAGGGGCTGGAGAGCCCTGTGGGCCCGGGAGGGCCGCGCAGCGCTCCCAGCACAGCTCCTCCCTCAGGAGCTGCCCAGGCCTGGGGTGTGCCTGCGCGCGTGTTTCTCAGGCTGGCCACAAGGTGGCGCCCTCTGCCCTGAGAATCACAGCTTGGCAGTGGCTGCTGCTTTAGCAAGTTTGAGGACTCCAAGATTTATTCGTTCATTCATCCAGTATTTAACGAGTTCATACTGTGTGTCAGACACATCACCCAGCGCTAGGAATGTTGTTGTTTTTTTTGGCCCTTAATCAGTGCCAGACCTGGTCCAAGCACTCTTCCTAGATTCCTTCACGTTCTAGGTATTTTATTATTAGTGTCTCACTTCTCAGAGGGAAGTGGAACTGCCCGAGGTCGCCCAGCTGTCATAAGTGTGGCAGAGTTGGTTCCTTCCCTCTGGCCGGACAGCGGTGACTGTCCTCAAGGGGGGAGGACCCAGACAGAAGACAGGTGATCCCACTGATAACCACCAGCGGAAGCCAGGAGGGAAATGCAGGGGAGCCAGGAGGGAAATGCAGGGGAGCCAGGAGGGAAATGCAGGGGAGCCAGGAGGGAAATGCAGGGGAGCCAGGAGAGCAGAGAGCAGGGAGCGGCCTCGCCTGGCTGGGGGCAGCCTCCCTGGGAGGTGACGTCTGAAGGATGAGCGGAGTCCTTCGCCTGGAGGAGGAGGAGGGTTGGGGGAAGTGAGGAGGGAGCTATATTTGCTAAGAGAGGCTTGGGGAAGGGAAAGGTGGGAGGAGTGGGGGAGGGGATAGCCGCTGGAAGGGGCTGAATGGGAAACTCCTTGGAGGGTTTGGGGAGCCAGATTTTGAAAAGCATTTTATTAGGAAACATTCCAAACACACACACACACACACACACACACACACACACACACACACGGAAGTAGGCAGTAGTATAATGCACATGCACTTGAGACTCGGCCTCAAGGGTCACGAGATTTTGCCCATCTTTGTTTGGTCTATGTTCTTCCCTCTCTCCTGAGAAAAAAATTCAATATGTTTCTTTTTTTCTTTCTTTCTTTTTTAAAATATATATTTTATTGACTTTTTACAGAGAGGAAGAGAGAGGGATAGAGAGTTAGAAACATCGATGAGAGAGAATCATCAATCAGCTGCCTCTTGCACAGCCCCTACTGAGGATCGAGCCTGTCACCAAGAAACATGCCCTTGACCAGAATCGAACCCAGGACCCTTCAGTCTGAAGGCCGACACTCTAGCCACTGAGCCAAACCAGTTTCGGCTTACTGTAGCTTTATAATTAATCTGATATGGGCAGAGCAAGTTTTTCCCTTTTGTTTTTCATTTTCAAGATATTTCTGTTGTTATTAATCATCACGTGAGCATATTTCCCCCCCAATGATTTTATTTTTACTTTTATTTATTTAAAAAAATATATATTTATTGATTTTTTTTTACAGAGAGGAAGGGAGAGGGATAGAGAGTTAGAAACAGAGTTCTCTCTCTGTTTATTTGTCTCATTTAATGTCTCAATAATGTTGTTCCATCCCACTTTATTTATTTTATTTATTTTTAAAATATATTTTATTGATTTTTCACAGAGAGGAAGGGAGAGAGATAGAGTCAGAAACGTCGATGTGAGAGAAACGTCGATCAGCTGCCTCTTGCACACCCCCTACCGGGGATGTGCCCGCAACCAACGTACATGCCCCTGATCGGAATCGAACCTGGGACCTTTCAGTCCGCAGACCCATGCTCTACCATTGAGCCAAACCAGTTTTGGCATCCATCCCACTTTAGATGCCCTTGTTAGTTGTTTCTTTACTTTAAATGTAAGCCATATTGCTTTTTGTATAGTTGATATGTATGTATTAGAAATTTCAGTCAAATATTTTATTTATCTAGATTCTTTTTGGTTTTCACTGTTTACAAATGAGCTTTGCTAATTCCCTCTCAAACCTTATCTTTCCTTTCAATTTCTTGCCTCATGGCACTGGCGAGACCTGCAGAACGCTGAGAAGGAGGTACCAGCAGGTGGCATCCTGGTCTTGATTGCAAAGGGGAAATTCAGTATTTTGCCCCAAATATGGGCACCTATTTATATTTCAGATCTTTAATTGGTTTTGATCTTCAGGCCAGGTGGTAACCACTGAGTTAATATACAGTTTTGGCAGCTATTGACAATCAGTGGCTAGATGGATTTTTTATTAGGGGTTTTAAATGACAGTGAACTAATTCTCTAATACTTTTTATAGCTGGGATTCATCAATAAAGAAAAGCATTCTCTCATCAACTATGTCGTTCCCTGAGATACATCTCCTATGAGAAAGGCATGATTCATGCTGGATTTTTTTTTTTAACTTTATTTAACTTTTCTCAGAAGAATTAGTTGGTTCCCTTACCTGCTCCACGGAGACTGATGAGTTCTGTCTAGTTTTTACTATCATCATGAACGCATGAATTTAAACCGAATTGATGCCATGTTGGTTTCCTGTGGCTTTCTGACAAATGACCATAAGCTTCGTGTTTTGAGACAACAGGAATCCTTTCTGTTGCAGCCTGAATCCCAGAGGCCTGACGTCAGGGATGAGGTGAAGGCGTGGGCTGGGCAGGGATCTGGGAGAACCCGGTTCTTGCCTCTTCTGGCCGGCGGCTGCCATCGTCCTTGGGCTTGTAACCACTTGATGCCAGTCAATGTGTGCCTGTGGAGTGGCATTGCCTTCTCTCTTATAAGGATACTTGTTGGTTATATTTAGGCCTACTTTATAATCTCCTCTTGTTAGGTGCTTGATTTCTTTTTTTGTTTTTTTTTAATCCTCACACAAGGACATGTTTAGAGAGGAGGGAGAGAGGGAGGGAGGGAAGGAGGGAGAGAGAGAGAGACATCAATTGGTTGCCTTCCGTGTGCTCCCCGACTGGGGATTGAACACAAAACCCAGGCACGTGCCCTGACCGGGAATGGAACTGGCAACCTTTTGGCGCATGGGTGATGCTGCAGTAAGCTGAGGCACTCTGGCTGGGCAAGGGCCTTGGTTTCATTGGGCACATCATAAGGTGACATTCACAGGGCCCGGGGTCTGGGCATGCGTACATTCTGGGAGGCTGTTTTCTGGCATGTCGAGATGTCCTGGACTTCCTTCTGCTTTTCCAGCCTCAGAACTGGTGTGAGTGATCTTCCCAAGGAACTGTGGTTTCTTTTAGTGGGGAATTGTTTTTAGAGATCACGGTCTGGTTTTTAGGGATGCTAATTGCCATTGGGTTGACATTACTTTTAGGCCTTTTACATTTTTAGAAAGAGAAAAATGATGTCCATGTTAACCTCTTTAACTTGTATGGCTTTTTAAAAAATATATATATTTCACTGATTTTTTTTACAGAGAGGAAGGGAAAGGGAGAGAGAGTTAGATGAGAGAAACATCAATCAGCTGCCTCCTGCACATCCCTTACTGGGGATGTGCCCACAACCAAGGTACATGCCCTTGACTGGAATCGAACCTTGGACCCTTCAGTCAGCAGGCCGACGCTCTAGCCACTGAGCAAACCGGTTAGGGCTGTATGTCTTTTCTCATATTAAAAGTCTTAGTTTCTAGTTACAATAACATAATTATTTTCTTTATCCTAATGACACCAGTATGATTACTAAGAAGAAGAGCACTGAATGAAATTTAAGGTTTCTTTGCAGTTCTTTGTGTCCTTTGACTGTTTCCTTCTTGCTAAAATAAAGTATGTGTGTGTGTTTTGTTACTTGACATAATTCTCCAATATGCCACTAACTTTGATATACACTTAGGTCTGTTTGAGTCAGTTTAAAAAAAAAAAAGTTTAGTGATTGCTTTTATTAAAATTTATTTCCATGAAGTATTTTCATAGTTCCAAATTCAAAACTAACAAGGAGGGTATATTCACTACCTGTTGCCACCACTGTTCCTCCCTTTTTAAAGCTTTTGATTTATCTTATATATTTTTGAAAATATGAACATTATAATTTATAACTTCCCTTTTTCTTTTACACAGATAGACACACAAAACATTTTTTTTCTTTCTGTACTGTTTCTAAACTTATATCCTGTCAGAATATAAATATCTTCCTGTTCCTTCTTAGGGGTGTGTGATACACATTTTAGTGGATGTACCATAGAAATTCAATTCCTGTTGATGCACATTTTGGTTATTTCCACTCTTTTGATATTACAAAAAGTGCTGCAAGTAGTAGCCTCTGTGTACATCTTTTTCTCAGATAAGGATTTTGAGCACTGTAGTGCCGGATTGTATTTGCATTTTATTAAGAGTCCTCTGGTGAGTAAGCAGTGAGAGGCAGCTAAGAGGCCAGAGGAGGCTGGCACCTCAGGGTTAGGCCTGGAGGGTGTGGAGAAAGATCGGTGCTATATTTCGAAATAAGAACTCATCACAGCTGTGTCCTCCCGTGGGCGGGATGGGGTAATGTGGCCAAGTCCTTGTCACGCGGGGCAAATGGAGGACGGGAGGGGATGGCACCATGGGGACAGCAGGGAGTGGTGGGTTTCCATTTGTGGGGCAGGTGAGATGGTGGTGCGTGTCCGCGGAGGAATGGGGAAGGGACCGTGCCTCCCGGCTCCCCCCCAGCCCTCCTCCCTCTCTCCCCTCCACCCAGGGTGACGCGCCTGGCTGCTGAGAAGCGAGAGCTGGAGGCCCAGCTGGGCCGATCGCGCGAGGAGGCGCTGGCCGGGCGGGCGGCGCGCCAGGAGGCCGAGTCGCTGCGCGGGCTGGTGCGCAGCCTGGAGCTGGAGCTGCGGCAGGAGCGCGGCCTCGGGCCCCGCGGCGCCGGCCGCCGCAGCCAGGACTGCCGCCGCCTGGCCAAGGAGGTGAGGCAGCGCGGCGGCCGGCGGGCCCGGGGGCGCAGCCTGGGCCTCGGGCCGGACCTCTGCGCTCTTGTCCCCTCCTTGCAGCTCGAGGAGGTGAAGGCGTCCGAGCGGAGCCTGCGCGTCCGGCTGAAGTCGCTGAACTGCGAGCTGGCGGCGTACCGGAGCGGGTGAGGGCGGGGCCTGAGCCCTGGGGGCGGGGCTTCGCGCCTTGGGGCGGAGCCTGCGTTGAATGGAGGGTTGGAGAGGCTACGGGATTGCCCGTGGCAAACGGGGCTCCAGCAGATGGAAAAGGTGAGGGGTCTGGAGAGGGGCATTCTGGAGTTGGGCTGCTCGCAGGGACCAGGGAAGGGGCGGGCCTGAGGGCGGACGTGGCCCTGCAGGCGGGGATCTGGGTGATGGATGCGGGTCTTCATTGGGGTGCGTGGTAGGTAATCAGTGGGGGAGACCCGGGAGCTGTGGAGACCTCAGGAAGCAGGCTCAGGGCCAGGGCCGCCAGGCTGTAGGGACGTGACACGGTGCTTTTTGGAAGGGGGAGGGGGCGGGGCTCGGGAGGAGGTTCTGGGGGGTCGTGTACATGAGCGAGGGCACGGATGTCAGAAACCCGCGGTCCTGAAGGTCCGCAGGGGGGAGTCCGGGGAGAGGCTGGGGCAGGAGTGGCCACGGCCGGTGGGAAGCTGACAGCGGGTCCTGCGCTCAGGAGACGGGCCTCGCCGGTGGTGCCGCGCCCAGCCCGGGAGGACCGCGCCTCGTCGTCCAGGGAGCGGTCCACGTCGCGGGGCCGCGGCGCCGCCCGCTCGTCCTCCCGGGAGAGTGGCCGCGGCGGCCGCGGGCGCGGCGGCCCCGCGCGCACCTCGCCCTCGCCCTCAGGTCTGTGCCGCCTGCCCTGCCCTGCCCGCGGGGGGCGGGGGTGGACCGGGGCGGGGAGGCAGGATCCTGTGACCCAGCCTCTTCTCTCCGCACCTCCCGCCCCATCCTAGGTGGTCGCCTGCCCCGGTTCGACCCCACAGCCTTTGTGAAAGCCAAGGAGAAGAAGCTGCGGGAGATCAAGATGAAGTTAGCACCCCCCCCCCGCCCCCATCTCTCCGCCCTCCCCCGCTCCTCTGCTCTGTCCCCGCCTCCCGTGCGCCCCATCACCTGCCACCCGCCCAGCTCCCCTCTGGCCTCCGGTGGCCTCGGCGCGTCCCCCGCCCGGGCGGGCCCGCCGGGCGCCCTCCCCGCGCTGCCTGGCGCTCAGGCGGCTTCTGCTCGGACCCCAGGCAGCAGCAGCAGCAGCGGCGGCAGCGGCACCGGCTGGGCAGCGGAGGAAGCGGGGACGGGCCGGCCATCTCCTGGGCTCGCCAGACTCGTCCCCCTGCTGCCGTGACGGGCCGAGGGGACGCGGCTAACCGCTCCCGAAACCGCAGCTCCTCGGGTAACGGGCTGGAGGCCGGCGGGCGGGCTGGGCGCACAGACTGGGAGTGCTGGGCGCTCACCGCCCCTCCTCCCTCCAGTGGACAGTTTCCGCAGCCGCTGCTCATCCGCCAGCTCCTGCAGCGAGTTCGGGGATTTCTCGGGATCCCTCTCTAGGGGGTAACACTTGGGCCGGGATGGGGCGGGTGGTGGGGGCGGCGGGGGTCGGGGGGGGGGGGTGAGGAGGATGCCTCCATTCAGGTGGCCGGGGAGACTGGGAACAGCCTTGTTGGCAAACAGGGGAGGCTAAGGTGGGAGATGCCAAAGGTCCTCCCCTTGGTCTCATTCCTCCCCCTTTAGCATTCTCAGCCGCGGGAAGCGGTCCGGATCGGCAACGATGAGTGGGTCCAACACGGTGAGTGTCTTCCCTCAGGCCTCGGAGAGGGGCTGGCAGCACGAAAGCACCAGAAGCCGAAGCTCCCTTCTCCCGTGTCCAATTCGGGATTGGTTGCAGAGGCGCCTGGAAGTGCTTCTGGACACAGTGTTCTTGGACCCCCTGGATTGGAGGGGAGGAGGGGCCGGTGGAGGGGCAGAGGACACTGGTCAAGAGCACCAGCTCTGGCCACAAATTGCCTCCTATGACCTGTGTGACCCCAAGATAGTTCTCAGTCTCTGTGCCTGTTTCTTTTTAAAAGTATATATTTCGATTGGCCCTAGCTTGTGTGGCTCAGCGGATAGAGCATTGGCCAGCGGACTGAAGGGTCCCGGGTTTGATTCCGGTCACTGGCATGTACCTTGGTTGTGGGCACATCCCCAGTAGGGGGTGAGCAGGAGGCAGCTGATCGGTTTTTCTCATCTATTTTTTCTTTTTTAAAAAAAATATATTTTATTGATTTTTTTACAGGGAGGAAGGGAGAGAGATAGAGAGCTAGAAATGTCGATGAGAGAGGAACATCGACCAGCTGCCTCCTGCACACCCCCAACCGGGGATGTGCCCGCAACCAATGCACATGCCATTGACCAGAATCGAACCTGGGACCTTTCAGTCCGCAGACCGACGCTCTACCACTGAGCCAAACCGGCTTCGGCTCTCATCTATTTTTCTAACTCTCTATCCCTCTCCTTTCCTCTCTGTAAAAAATCAATAAAATATATATTTAAAAATATTTTTATTGATTTCAGAAAGGTAGGGAGAGAGAGAGAGAAAGAAACATCAGTGATGAGAGCGAATCAGCAATCAGCTGCCTCCTGCACACTCCCTGCTGGGGATCCCAACTAAAACCTGGGCATGTGCCCTGACCAGAATCCAGTGGTGACCTTCTGGTTCATAGGTCCAAATTCAACCACCCAGCCACACCAGCCGGGCCTCAGTTTCTTTCTCAGTTAAACGGGGATGGTAATAGTATTCACTGCGAGGATTTTGGTGAAGGTAGAAAGTTATAGGTGCCTAATACGTGTCAGCTCTTATTTTTCCCGAGGTGCTTAGGTGCAGAATTCCTGGTGGGATTTGGGGGGCAGGAGTGGAGGGAGATCACCGGACTCCTCTCCTGTCTCCCCAGTTGCAGAAGTTCACTCCCATGGAACGCGGCCGCCGTCCAAAGCATCTGGCCAATTCTGGGGGCTGGGTCCCCATCAAAGGTGAGCCCGGGACTCCACATCTCCCCCTCACTCCTCAGAGCCTGCTGGGGTGGTACCGAGGGCATTGATCGGCCCCCAGAGCTCCTGTGGCTTCAGCCCCTCACAGTCCCCCAAACCCACGTCTGCTCTCACAGAGTACAGCTCTGACTATCAGGCAACCGACATCGCGGAGATAGACGCCCGTTTGAAGGCCTTGCAGGAATACATGAACAGACTGGACACAAGGTCATGACCTTGAGGAGCACTGCCCCTCCATCCCTTGCCCACCCATGGATTGGCTGGGGGCGGGGCTGCTGTGTCCTCTCAGCCCCACCCAGCCCCCTCCTCCTCTCCCTCTCCCAGGCATTGCATGCTGGGAGGGAAGGGCTGTGTATTTTGTAAATAAACATATTTACCCTTGGGATCCCTACGCTTATGGCTGAAGGGTAAGGGTGGAGCTGGGAGATATCAGGACTGGGGGGACCATTTCTGGGCATGTCTGACTGGGAGGCAGACTAGGGTTCAGGCTCAGGAAAAATCTTGCACCCTAACGCAGTGAAAGTAGGGAGGGGGACCTGCCGGATGATGGCGAGCAGGCCATCCCCCTGGGTCCCGGCAGAGTCCTGCACAGGACGTCCTGGGCTGTGTGGTGTGGTGGGGAGCCCTGCAGGCTGGGTCACGGCCTGGGAGGCCCCAGGCTGCTGCCAGTGACATCCGGGCGGCTTGTGCTGTCCCCGCGCGCTGACCTGAGAACTCCGGCTACTGGGCCGTGACGCTGCTCTGAGTTGGCATCTCCGGGTGTGGGTTCAGGGCTGGGGCCTCTGGGCCTCGAGTACCAGGAGGACAGAGTGCTAGGAGGTGGGTGAGTGGCAGGGCTCTGAGGGAGGAGTGTGTGGCGGGCATGGGGGCAGTTTGAGTTGCACTTTATTGGAGGGGGCTTCTCACTGGGGGTGGGGACAGTCAGGGCCTCACTCTTCGTAGTGGTGCGGCCACTTTTTGATGATTGCGTAGAGCTGGTCGCCTGGAGATTGCGTCTGCTGCACCTGGCAGTGCCCTCTGACCTCATAGTTGGGACTCAGAATCCCCTGAGCCACTCCGCAAGCCAGCAGACTCTGGGCCGCCCGGATGGCCCGGGGCGGGGGGACCCGTTCTGGGGGGACAGAGGCAGGATGTAAGCTGGGGTCTCCTCAAAGGGCAGAGGTGGTGTGGGTAGTGGTTCCACTTGTGCCCTCCTAGCTTGGCCCACTAGGACCCAGAACCCGGTCTGCCACTCCCCGTCAGTGACTTAGCCTCGCCGTGCCTCAGTTTCCTCATCTGTGAAAGGAGAGACTACAGTGGCACCTGCCACAGAGCTATGGCACCGTCAGACGAGTGAAGCCCTCGGAATGGCGCCTGGCCCAGCAGGTGCTGGCCGCAGGGTCCCTGTCATTCTCCCCCCGTCCCTAGGCTTCGGGTCCTGCCCACGGCAGTGACATTGTCAGCACTTCTCAGGGCCTGGCCTGAGAACTTTCACACAGATTAACTCATCCTCATCCGAACCATGTGGCTGGAAGTTCTCATGATCCAAAAAGGAAGAAATGAGCCCTAACCGGTGTGGCTCAGTGGATAGAGCGTCGGCCTGAGGACTGAAGGGTCCCAGGTTCGATTCCGGTCAAGGGCATGTACCTTGGTTGCGGGCACATCCCTCGTAGGGGGTGTGCAGGAGGCAGCCGATGGATGTTTCTCTCTCATTGATGTTTCTAACTCTCTATCCCTCTCCCTTCCTCTCTGTAAAAAAATCAATAAAATATATTAAAAACAAACAAACAAAGCAAAAAGGAGGAAATGAGACTCGGAAAAGCAGTCACTTGTCCAAAGTCACAGAGCTATGAGTGGCAGAGCCTCTCCACAACTACACACCATGTTCTTCCCACCTCTGCGGGCGACCCCCATCCCCACCCCCTACCCCCCGCGCGCCGCCCGGCCATGGTGGCCCCTGTCCTGACCGGTGGAACAGCCACTCACCCATGTAGTTGCCCATGAAGGTGATGCCAATGGACATGGGGTTCCAGGTGGGACCGGAGTGGTCACCCTTGATCTTCCAGCCACGGCCCTCGTACACAAGCCCGTCTTCTCCAATGAGGAAGCTGCGGGGGTGAGGGCGACTGATGGATGAGAGAGGGCTTCCTGGGAGAGGACTCCCTCCGCCTGCCCTGCCCCTGCTCCTGCCACCACAATTTCCCCTGCACCCCTCTTCTCCCCCGTGACAGCGGCCCCTAAATGCCAAGCACAGCTCTGGGTGCACCTTTTTCATCCTCACAGCAACCCACGAGTCACTATCGCCCCATTCTGTAGATGATCAGAGAGGTAGAGACACCTGCCCACCGTCACACAGCCCGTCAGGGACAGAGGCAGGATTTTCACCCGGGGCCTCATGGCTCCCACCCCCAGGATCTGACGCCTCGCTCTCTCCTGCCCCCCCCCCCCCCCCCCCCCCCCCCGTGGAGGATGTGTTGAGCTCTCCCGTGATGTCCTCTGAGGCAGGCACTGCTGTCACCCCCCTTGAAGCTGAGGAAGCAGAGGTGACTGGCCAAGGTCATGCCCCAGAGCTTCTGCCTTAGATATCTCCACTGAGAAGCTCTGACGCCCTCACCCCAGCCCGCCTCCTGCTTCCTGCTTCCTGCTTCCTGCTGGGGGGTCAGGACCAGGGACTGAAGGGCTGGGCCAACACCAGACACGGACCCTGGAGCCCGAGAACCTGCCACAGGATTCCAGTCCTGGCAGGTCTTTAAGGCTCTCATTCAACACGTCCTGATCGAGCGAGCCTGACCAGCTTGTGGAATTAACTAGAAGGTCAGCGTCTTTGGAGAAGCAGAACCACTACTCACTCTGCCTGCTACCTCCACACCCTGAGCTCTGGCCTTCAGGCACGAGGGGCTCCCCCCACCCCCCCAGCCTTCCCCTCTGCAGTACCCCAGGCCACCTCAGAGCCACCAAGACTAAGGTGACCAGACGTCCCGATTTGACCCGCGTCGTTTTTAAAAAAAGTCCCGAACGACGCGCGACAAATTGTTAGAAATCGGGACGACTGGTCACCTTAACCAAGACGGGAAGCCGGTCCCTCAGCCTGCCCTTCCGAAGGAGCCCAGGTGGGTGTGGCTACAGCTTCTGAGGCCTCCCTCCATCACTTTTTTTTTTTCTTTTATAGAGAAAAGTTTCCCCTTATTTCTTTAGAATAAAGATTTAGTGCACAAATACAGCCCAAAGCCAAAATAAAAATAGCTTTGCCCTGTCATTTCCCTAAGAAAGCACTGCAGTTCCTCAGCATAGGCCAAAAGGACAAAAGCAATCCCTGGAGATCTAGATTTCATGGAAGGACCGCTCTTGCTCATCACCTCTTTCGCCCCCTGAGCTCCCAGTGCTGCGTTATCTCCCGGCCGGCCGCCAGGTCCCCATCCCGGCATCCCGCCCGTGGCCCCCCGTGGAGCAGGTGCCTAAAGGCAGAGCCCACGGACTCGGGGCTCCCGCTACATGCCAGGGGGTGTCCGAAGCGCTCTGCCTGTGTGGGCTTCATGATCAGGTGGGCCAGTCCTGCTGACCGCAGAGGAGGCGGTGGAGCGAGGGGACAGCCTGCCGGGCCCCAGGCAGCCCTCACAGAGCTGGGGGCCAGGACCGGCCTCCTAACAAAGGCGCCGGGCACCGGGCGGGGGGGAAGGGGGCCAGAACTTGAACTTCAGCCCTTCTGCGCAGTGGGGCATCCATGCCTCGGGGCATCCCGGCCCAGCCCCCTATGGTTAGGTACCAGATCATCGCCCTGTTGGCGGGACAGTCCCAATTTTTAACAATTTTTCCCATGTCCCGCGGCGTTTTTTAAAAAACTGCGGGATGTGGGAAAAATTGTTGAAAATCCTTTCCAGCCCAAACCGGCTCGGCTCAGTGGCTAGAGCGTTGGCCTGCAGACTGAAAGGTCCCGGGTTGAATTTGGGTCCAGGGCACGTACCTTGGTTGCGGGCACATCCCCAGTGGGAGGTGTGCAGGAGGCAGCTGATCCATGTTTCTCACCGATGTTTCTAACTCTCTGTCCCTCTCCCTTCCTCTCTGTAAAAAAATCAATAAAATATATTAAAAAAAAGAAAATTCTTTCAAAAAAATTGGGACTTTTTAAAAAAAAATATATATATATTATTGATTTTTCACAGAGAGTAAGAGAGAGGGATAGAGAGTTAGAAACATCGATGAGAGAGAATCATCGGTCGGCTGCCTCTTACACACCCCCTTACTGGGGATCAGCCTGCAACCAAGGTACATGCCCTTGACCAGAATCGATCCTGAGACCTTTCAGTCCGCAGACCAACGCTCTATCCACTGAGCCAAACTGGTTTCGGCTGGGACTTTTTTTTTTTTTTTTTAAATGTCGCGGGACGCGGGAAAAATTGTTGAAAATCTGGACTGTCCCGCCAAAAGTGGGACGATTGGGTCACCTTACTGCAGTGTTTCCTGTTGTGGCCAATGAGACCCGGTCGAGGCAGGGCTCCAGATGGCTAGCAGTGTTTCCCAGTGTTTTCGAAGCAGGGCTCCAGGCCAGGGAAGGGGTGAGCAACCAGACCCACAACAAAGAATGTAGCATGATATGCTTTTAGCTAAGCATAACTGTTAGCCATAAAATAGTTGCTGGGCTCAAACCCCAGGCAGGCACGTCCTGTTTCCAGTAGCCGCATGTCAGGGCAAACAGACCAAACCAGGTCACACAGAGACTGCTTAAGCTGAAAATAACCCCCCACCCCAGGTGGTGTATAAACTTTACATGTTACTGTACTAGTGGAATTTTTCTATAGCTTCTAACTGACCTTCCTTTGTTAAAACTTTTAGCCACTCATAATCTGCCAGGCGTCCCTAAGACGGGTATAAAAGCAGGATGCTTAGAGTGGGCCGGGGCTCTCGTTGCTCGCTGCTGTGTCAGTTGAGACGGGAGCCGGGACTCGAGTTTATAATAAAGGCTTCCTAAATTCCAATGTGGCTGACTGGTGGTCGCCATTCGCGGGTCATCCACAACTTTTCCCAAACGTTTGACATATGTGTGTGCCCCTTCTAGAATTTCCGTAATGCTGAGGACCCCCTCGTCCTCATGAGAAGGTAGAATTAGGCGCAGCTAAGCACGGTGCAGTGCTTATCCCCACCGAACTCCGGTGCAATGTGTACCCTCACCAAACTCTTCCCGTGCCCCTGGGGTTACGCGGACCACACTTTGGGAAACACTGCAAGTGGCCGAGGAAGCTGCGCAGGCGCCAGCGGGGCGGCTCCAAGACCTGCAGGTCCCCCCCCCCCATCCCCCTCCGGTCCCCCGGTCCCCCCGGCCCCCCACCTCCCGCCTCCCTCTCCCCGCTCTCACTTGTAGGCCACGTCGCAGTAGCCCCGCGTCCGCACGTGGTAGTGCTGCACGTTCTGCGCCTGCTGCAGGCACAGGGCCGGCGTGTCGCAGGGGCTGCCCGCCGTGTGCGACACCACCACGTAGGGCACCGGCATCTCCAGCTCCCGGGTGCACGTGGACGGCAGGGCCCTCCACTCACTGCGAGGCACGATGGTGCCGCAGCACGCCTCCTGGTCCTCCACCGCCTTCTCCCCGAGCCCCTTGAGGGCGAGCAGGGCCCAGGCAAGCAGCGCGCAGAGCAGGGCCATGGCCAGGAGCAGGCGTGCAGGGCTGGCCAGGAGCGCAGCGGCCTTTATATGCTGGGGCCCGAGGGCGGGGGGTGGGAAGAGAACCTTGCTTCACATCCTGGCAGGTTACAGGGGACCCCAGATTCCAGCTTCCTTCTCTGGCCTGGCTGCAACAGGATGCGAGTGGTTGGTTGGGCCTGAGGGAAGCGGGAGAGGGGCGAGGGTGGGGGAAGGGGACCCAGGGGAAAGTCAAGGGGCCGCTCCCCAAGCGGAGAGTGGGGGCGGGGAGAGGCGCACAGGCCCCTGGGCACTTAGCCAGGTGGTTTCTGGAAGGCTCCCTCGGGGCCTGGATCCTTGCCCGCGTTGTCTCCTCCCAGTGGGGCATTGCTCACCTCTCCAGAGAGAGGCCCCAGGCCTCTGCCTTCTTCCTGCAGAGAGGTCGCCAGGCTGCCTGTGCTTTAGTTCTCCCATTCCCAGCCCCAAGCCCGAGGTCATTTCACCCTCTCTGCGAACCGGAGAGGGGAGTATGGAGAAGCCCACTTCACAGCTGGGTACATTGAGGCTGGGAGAAGGGAAGTCAGGTTGCGGAGACTCTGGTACCTAACAGGGTCCGGGGGCCCAGGGCCTGGACTCAGAGCCAGGCTGCCTGCAGCTGAATTCTGGCCACATCCCAGTGTGTGGGCTCAGGCCAGTGACCCAGCCTTTCTGTGCCTCGGTTCCCCCCACCTGCACAATGGGGGAGGTGTTTAAAAATAGGGTCCTTGTGGGATTAAATGGGGTGACAGCGCTGAGCCTTCAGAGGATGCCTGACCCATAGTGTCACGTAAGCTGCACTGGGACTTGAATTCATGTCTGTCCTGGTAGTAAGCAGCATGCTTTATGTGGGTGCCCCTACCAGCTCTGTGCTGCACAGGAGGGAATCTGGGGTCCGGAGAGGAACAGCTGTTTGCCCAGCGCCAGTCAATGGCTTTCCTGTTGGGACAGAAGGCTTTCCTGGGGCTTCTGCTCTGCCAGGATCTCTATCCCACTCCCCGATAGAGACCCGGTGAGCTCAGAGCAGATTGCCTAGTTTGCTCATCCTCTCATCCTTCTTTGCTGCTACTTTATCGGGGGAGGGGGGTGGATGCGGGATGGGGGGAGACAGCCTGGCCAGCATGGCTCAGTGGCTGAGCATTGATCCATGAACCAGTAGGTCATGGTTTGATTCCATTCCTGGTCGGGGCACATGCCCTTATGGGTTCATTCTCCAGAGGGAGGTGTGCAGGAGGTAGCCAATCGATGATTCTCTCTCATCATTGATGTTTCTCTCTCCGTCTCTTCCTCTCTGAAATCATTAAAAAAATATTTTAAAAAATGACAAAAGGGTTGGGGCACTGGGTGGAAGAGGTGAAGGGACTAAGAAGCATGAATTGGTAATTATAAAATAGTCAGGGGCACATAAGTAAAGCATGGGGAATATAATCAATAATGTTGTCATGACTATGTAGGAATACTACATAAAGCATATGATTGTCTAATGGCTAAGCTGTACACCCAAAACCAATACATAAATAAAAATGATGAAAAAAATGACAAAAATGACACATGCTAGCTGTAAGAAGTTGAATTGAGATGAAATGTTAATCACCCATGTCCTGCTTTCTCCACCTCTGCCCACCTGGGTCACCAATGAGAGCACTGTGGTATGTTTTCTTCCACCATATTTTCCATGCTCAGGTAGATCATGCTTATACTCACAATAGCACAGAATGGCACACCAGGCATCTCCAAGCATTCTTCCTGAATTACCTCCTCATCTGCTCCCAGCAGGTCTATGAGGTAGATTTATTCTTAACCCCTTTTCCAGCCAAGGAAACAAGCCAGAGGCCTTACCTCTCTTTGAAGATGGGGATGCCAGGATTTAGGCACAGGCTTCCTAGTTCCAGAGATTAAATCCTAAACCATATATTCCACTACCTGCAAACACATAGAAGGACAAATATCTATAATAATAAAAGCATAATATGCTAATTAGAATGGACATCTTTCTGGACAACCTTCCGGATAAAGCCAGGGCTGCGAGGACCAAGGCGGCCGCCCCAGTGGGCGGGGGTCAAGGCAGAGGAGGCAGCCGCAGTGGTGGTGGTGGTGGTGGTGGTGGCGGCGGCGAGGGCTGAGCCCCTTGCATGAATTTCGTGCACTGGGTCTCTAGTTAAAAAACAAACACCACCCGTATCACTTTGTCTTTTGTCACCTAGTATTTATGCACATTGCCCCAGGTCACTACATCTAGTTTATTTTTTCTTTTAATGTATAATAGACAATTTTATTTAAAGTTTTCAAACTTGCAGAATGCTACCTTTTTTGGGGGGGAGAGGTACTAAGAGCATCAACTCATGGTCAGAAATTAAACAACCAATTTATGATAGTGGTTACCTTTGATGGAGGGAAAAAGGACTGAGAAAGAGTATATGGGGGTCCCCAACTGTAATGCTTCTTTTCTTTTTTTGGGGGGGGAGGGTAATGCTTATTTTCAGGTATAGACACAGCCTTTTATCTACATCCTTTCAAGTATTTAATCATTTTTAAAAAATCAATTTTTAAGTGAATGGTAGAAAGATGGTCAGAATATAGCTAAAGAACTAAACTGAACCACTACATTTTTTTTTTCTCCTAAAAAAATAAGGGTCTTTTAAGTAAACCTGTGACAGTTTCAGATTCTTGGCAAATACTTTCAACAATTCTATACATTTTGTAGTAGGCCTATTTTTATAGATGAAGCCAGATGTTGAGATATCATTGTTATCCCTGACCAGTTAGGCTCCGTGGATAGAGCGGACTGAAGAGTCCCGGGTTCGATTCCCATCAAGGGCATGCACCTTGGTTGCGGGCACATCTCCACTAGGGGATGTTCAGGAGGCAGTTGATCGGTGTTTCTCTCTCTTGATGTTTCTAACTCTCTATTCCTCTCCTTTCCTCTCTGTAAAACATGAATAAAATATATTTTTAAAGAAGATATCATTGTTAAATGGTCTACTGAACATTTGAACACAGGTATTATTTAATCAGTTTGCAAACCAAGAAGGGGTAATTCCTCTTCAAAAGGTTCGTTTAAACTATACACTCCATAGTCATTCTGTGACAGAGGACGTCAGCTGGACATTGCAAGGATGGTGGGGAAAATGGTTAAGGGAATGGGGTCAATGTCAGGAAGCGTTAGCATTAGCAAGGTCCTTGGGGTGGGAAGAAACAGAACTACAGCGCTGGTGGCCTTCAGAGCCTTGAACAAGACAATTCTCTAAAAAAATAACCAAGAATTGGCAGCTTGTTCACTGTACAGAAGGAAGGATGAGTAGATGAATATCCCTAAGTTTCTTCCTGAAGGGTGGATTACTGGCTGGCTCAGATTTGGCAGCCACGGGGCCTATTGTTAGCCTAATGAACCGAACCTGTTGTGTCCCAGTGACATGGAGGCGGGACACCATTGTCAGTCAGAAGTCAGTTTGTGCTTTTCCAGGAAAGCCTGCCACAAAGAAAAGGTACACATGACCGAAACCGGTTTGGCTCAGTGGATAGAGCGTCGGCCTGCGGACTGAAAGGTCCCGGGTTCGATTCAGGTCAACGGCATGTACCTCGGTTGTGGGCACATCCCCAGTAGGAGGTGTGCAAGAGACAGCTGATCGATGATTCTCTCTCATCGATGTTTCTAACTCTCTATCCCTCTCTCTTCCTCTCTATAAAAAAATCAATAAAATATATTTAAAAAAAAGAAAAAAAAGAAAAGGTACACGCAGTACTTCTAGTGACTGTCTTTTCAAAGTTACTTAACCTCTTTGGTCTTCAGCTTTCACATCACTAAAATAATACTCTCATAGGAACCGAGGAGACTGGATTCCATAATGTCTATAAATTTTAGATCCAGAAGTCTTCCAGGATGTTAATCTTCCTTTCTAACATTCCTTCTAGGTATAATATCACTTATTCACTTTAGATTCTTGCTTCTAAGTTACTTGTGGCCTTCCTATTTCCAAATTTTAGTTCCATGTTTTACCCTCGACCATATTAACAACCTAAACCCAGAAAATGTAACTTTACTCTTCTTAGGACTTCTATAGCACTATGGATATTTATCATAAACTGGGTAATCATATTATGTTCTGGTTTTCACTTGTCTTAGCATGATGAAGACTACCCTAATCATAATTTATTTTGTAGATTAAAATGTGTGAAACAGAGTGTTTGCATCCTATATAATAAAAGCCTAATATGCTAAGTGTCTAGTTGACTGGTCAGCCGTTCAAACAATCAAAGCATAATATGCTAATGATATGCTAATGCTGTACAACTGCTTGCTATGACATGCACTGACCACCAGGGGGCAGACGCTCAGACTGGTAGGTTAGCTTAATGGGACTGGACGAGACTGGCCAGACATGCCCTGTAACCCACCCTGAATCCCTCCCTGGCTGGCCAACCTCCCACGTTCCTCCCTGGCTCTGACTGTGCACTCATGGGGTCCCTTGGCCTGGCCTGCGTTCTCCTGCAATCCGGGACCCCTCAGGGGATGTAGAATAACCAGTTTCGGCCCAGTGGCGTGATGATGGGTGGCTATGATGTGCACTGACTACTATGGGGCAGACCCTCAATGCAGGAGCTGCCCCCTGGTGGTCAGTGTGCTCCCACAGGGGGAGCACCGCTCAGCCAGAAGCTGGGCTCACTGCTGGCGAGTGCAGCAGCCTCTCCATGGTGTTACGAAGCGAGTCCCCAAGAGATGAACCACCAGAGCCAATTTGATTAAGCATGCTAGAGTTTATTACAGATTCGAATCCGGGCTCAAACCTTGGCTGACGTAGCAGCAGGCAAACACCCAGGTGAGAGCCCCGATGGAGGGGCAGTCCCTCCTCTTAAACCTCTTTTTCCCCACCCCTCCCACTGTTGGTATGTCACTCCCAGATTGGCCCCTCAGGACAAAGAACTGGCTGGCCTGAGCTATTTCTCAGGTAGTTTACACAACCTGGCCTGTTTTGCCTCAAGCAGAATGT